CCATACTTATTTGGTGGATGCACCTGCTCCCATAACCGTCTCTCTCGTTTCTATGTATGACCTTGTGCATATGTGTGTACCCATGCACGCGCACGCACATACACACACACACACACACACAAACACACCCACCCATGCCTTTTCAGCATCCCGGCCTCTTGTATGATTGGTTGTGGGTAGAATTGAGGGTGAATAGCTCAAACACACACACACACACAGATAGACACGCTGTAATAACCTCATGGATTAGATTTACTCATATGAGTCAGTCAGCGGGTATGTTTTAAAATGATGAGCTAAGGTACACCTCCATACACACATAGTTTACCTCCTTAAAAATTGACACAGACACACACACACACACAAGGTCAATTTCCTCTTATGTATAGGGGTAGTAGGGTCAACTGTTTGAGAGTATTGGAGGGGAAACTCAAATACACACAAAAAACAATTTATTTGGGGGTGAGATGGAATACATTTCTTATATTGAAAAAAATAAAATAAAACAGACCCCCGGGCTGCAGACTGAGTGAAAAAGTGCCATACTGTTGTGCGTGTCTGTGTGTTTGAGAGAGAGACACTGAGACATGTCGAGGTGAAACTCTCTGTACTCTCCCACTATACAACCACAACCAGACAGGCACTCAATAAAGCACATTCCTCTGCCAAGGCCCATCAGTGTTTTAAAAGTGTAAAAAAACGAAATTCTTAAAAACTTTTGTTTGTTTGTTAATCAAAGATAATACATCCTGAATCCGGCCCTTTTGTTATATCTACTTGAAAAGTTGATGGGTTCCTCCTTGTCCTATACCGCATCGTTCCACCGAGTTTAAATAAAATTGAGTCAGTGGTTTTTACTTCATCCTGCAAAAGTCCATCCAGATGTGGATAGAGGTAACCACATCTCAATCTAAAAAATGATTCAATAAATGAGCTTTATTAGATTGTCTCAGGCTCAGATATCTTGGGTAACGGTGTTATTTGACGTGTCGTTTGTTCAACTACGAACAATTACTTTATCATGATTTTTTTGGTGGGGGTGTACTCCGTGAGACATCTGTATATGTTTATGGCAGAATATAGAAATAGTACAGAACTGTAGGTTACCGTGGGAATGCTCTCACCTCTTCTCACTCTTCATTTCTATCAAGTTTTTGCTGACACAGACGCACACACACACATCTGCATTGGATCTGCATGTCCAAACTCACACACATACCCAGATGCCTGTCCCCCCCCTTAGGGCCCTGTCTTTATCAGATAGAAGATAAAGCTACAGTCTGGGCACATGTTGGCCCAACTACCAATCACATAATTGCCAGATGACCATAATATGCAAACTTAAACAAACCACTCTCCTGCCATTGGCTGCAACACAATACATGTGCAAATCTTATGCAAATCTGACTTTTCAGAGATTTCCCAATAGCAGCCTTGACATTGTGTGGATGGAATTTATGGCCTGCAAAGTGCTGAGTCACTGAAGGGTATCTCCAGTTGCTTTCCCACACTGAAAAACACACGTTGGGACCAATATATCAGCAACATAGTCTCCTCCACACGGTCAAGATACGGTGTTCTGTGTGATGTTATGGTTTCCGCACTCGAGTTAAACTCTCACACGGTGGAGAATGTTGTAAATGTGAACGATCGGTCTGCACAGACAGGTCATCTGTATTTTCACTGTGTATTTCATATCGTAGTCGGCTAAGTTCCCAGAAAAAAAGAATCTAGTTTGTACGTCCCCTTTAATCTGTGTTGTGGAAAGGATAACGAATGCAAATAATTTAGAAAGATTCAGTGATCATTGATCTTGGACAATGATAACATAAACTTTTTTCTATTTAACATAAAAGTGATCTATTTTCTGGAATGTAGAGCATTTAAATGTAAGCACACCATGTGCCATCCTACATTTGTAATTGTAACCACTGTTACTGCTCTGCAGAGTCTGAGAGACTTTTTTAAAGTATTTTTTACTTTTCAGAAAACCCAAAGACTTTCAATTGTTCATTTTTTTGCATTTTGAGAATGATTTGCAGGAATGTCTACTTTATAGGCAATGAAATGCAGCCTGATGATATATTACATCATACAAGTGAACATACTCAAAGGAATGTTGAGGGAGCAGCATGAGTTACAGTTTGCCAGGCCTTAGCAAGTGCTTTGCTGATTCTTCTTGCTGTTTGCTTTAAATGTGGTATCAAGGAGGACCTAGAATTTCTGAACACCATCTTTTTAAAAGGGAAAGGTGGTAGACAGACAATAATGTGACTGGTCATTGGCAGCACCTGGAGAAATTCCTCCTTGTCAGTATTAACATCCATTAAGTTTTTTACCATCCTCGGCAAGCAGATCTCTGCATAACACCTGCCCTGTCTGTTTACCTGTGGACCTTCTTCTGTTGGCAGAGGGGACACGTCATCTGTAGCTCCATTCACGTACAATTGGACATCAGAGTTTCACTCTTCTAAATTTCCAACTTTTAATGAGATTGTCCAAACCTGGTGTGGAAGCAAAGGTGACAAAGCATTTTTTTAAGGGTGACAGCTGCCACACTATTCTTTCCTAGTAAACCCGCCCTGAGGCTGTTGAAACCTTATATGTCTCCGTTTGGCTTTTCAGTGTAGTTTTCTTATCTAGTGTAGTTTTTATCAGTGCATTTGGAAGTTCAGTTTACTCTAGAAAGGTGTGTGTGTGTGTGTGTGTGTGTGTGTGTNGTGTGTGTGTGTGTGTGTGTGTTTTAAATTGATGGAGAGGTTGTTATTGTCGGTCTGGAAATCCTCCCTCAGGACACAAAGGAGACAGCAACCACACAGCTGAGATCACTCCCACTAGTCCTGTGTTAACGTGTGTGTTTGTGAGTGTGTGTGTCGGTTGCCTAGACAAATAAAGGTACACATAATGGCCAGCTGAACTTATTTTCTCTTTTCTCTCTCTCTCCCTCCCTCCCCATTTACTTATGACACACAACACTGTAGTTCATGGGTATCTTTGTTGGGACCCTTATATACACTGCATTTCCTATAGCCCCTTACTCTACCTGTAACCCTACAAAGTACATTTCCCTTAATTACTCACAATGAATCACAAATAACTTTTTACTCTGACTAAACGTTTAATGTCTTGGTTGCGTATGCTAAGAGTTCAATTAAAAACCTTTTTTATGCAAATTTCTCAACAGTGATAAATACGAATTTTAAGGAAAAGCCCGAAGAGAAAATTCAATCCACATCTTTTGATTTACAATGCTTTGATACTTTTTAAAGAACTTTTAAGGGTATCAAGGTTATATTTCATGTTTTATTGATTCAGCACAGCAGTTTGGGCCTTGAGGTGTTTTAGATGATTGTATCAGGCTGTAAGTTCGACTTAATGATGTCTCATAAAAGAAAAAAGTACAGCTGCATGTCTTAGAAAGCACTTAAACAACATGAGTCACATCGGCAGGACACAAATCATGGGTTTGGGTTGGTTTTGTTGATCGTGTTGTGTCATGTGTGTTGCAGGAAATCGTAATTTCTATAAATAGAAAGCCTGAAAATACTAAAGCTAAAAACAACTGTGAGTGTGTGTGTGTTTTGCTAAAAGTGAAGGCTTGAAAAACAGATTTGACCAAAGGCAAATTGTGGTGTGTTGGCAATCTTTGCTTTCTCTGCATCCTGGGACCTGCTGTGTGAAAAGTACTGTGCGTGTGTATCAAATTAATTAATGCAGGAAATACTGTGTGTGTTTGTGTGTATGCTTGACTGCAGCTGGGAAGCTGATTCTAAGTGAAATACCTGGTTCAATGTAGCGTAAAGGAGCGAGCTTCTAGCTCCCCACCCCTGCCGTGCCATATCCCCTCGAGTATATGTGTCTGTGTGTGTGACAGCTCTCCTGGCAGTGCCATGCAAACCCTGCCACCATCGCCTTGAGTAGCAGCTGAGCTTAACATCGCATGGAGCGACACACAGATGTGTGTGTGTGTGTGTGTGAGCACGTGTACACATCTTTCTATGTTTGTGTAGATGAAATTATTGTTTGAAACATTGTATTGTGGACATTTTGGCTGATCATCATACCTTTAAAGGTTGTTTTAAGGTTAAGACTATTCATTTTTGATTTAAATTTGGGTTAGGGTTGGGCATTTTGTTGTGATAAAGTAAAGAACATGGGAATTTATTGTGTCCTCACAACTATTGTGTGGACATGTGGATCAAACGTGTAAATAATCGGTTTAATAGTAAGTAAAACAAAATAGGTCTGTTTTTGAGTAAAGCAGGATTTACATTTATCAATCATTTTAGCTGCGACTAACTGCCAGGTTTTATAAAACAGCACATGTACTTTATTGTGCTAGTGTTACTAGATGGGATCTCTCTGGTAACTTAAAGGAACTTAAAGAAAAATTTTATTTAGAAAGTACTGTACACTAAAATAGCTTATATTGCTACATTGTTGTACATTTTAAGCCAAAAAAACCTTCAAATCTGCAGGACAGAAACATGCCGAACTATTTACAGCCTTTCAAACAAATTTCCTACAAAACCTTAAAATCAAATCAAATCTGGTCCTCTTTTCTTCTGGCCGTCAGATACTCAGCTTCAACATTCTTGATTAGTGGCAGGGAAGCCAGAGTGGAACCAGTGACACAGAATTATAGTAATTAAATAAGAAGAAAAAGTGATAACCGTGTTTCTAAATCATACCTTGAAATCTCTAGAGACCTTCAGAAATTGTAAAGCTCTTAAAAGATTATTCCAGGTGAAGGAGACATCTTTTTTTTCACAATATGAAATAGAAGAGACAGGTTGAGAATTAATGAAACGTGTGTGAGCATTGACCCCCTGTGCGCTGAAACCAATTAAATATTTCTGCTAAATACTAAGTGTTGATGAGTTATATATATATATATGTATATGTTATATTGTATATATTTATACACATTGTTATCTTTCTCTACAAAGTCATGCTTGTGATTGCTTTAATAAAAATAAATGAACTCTCTCTTCCTATAGATGACCCAACAGAAGCAGACCTGTGGTTGTTGAACAGCTGTACTGTGAAGAACCCGGCAGAGGACCACTTCAGAAACTCAATCAAGTAATGAAAACACACTCTTTTCCCTCTATGTGTTATTTTATGCAGTCAAGAAGAGTTTTACTTCGTAGAATCCAGATTAAAATATGAGAAACAAACACTGCTGATAAAAATAATTAAAACATGTTTTGGCAGAAAATTCAAGCAAGACTGCTTTGATTGGTTGCTTGAATTAGAACTAAAGGAAATTAAGAGACATGTTCTTTCCACTGTGAAAAAACCCCCAAATCATGTTCACAACCAGGTTCGAATAGTTTCCATGTCGATTTGAAAATATATAATTCCATCAGAATTTATTTGCAAATTAAATGTGAGATTCATTTCATATTTCAAACCCATCAACAAATAAAGATGTAAAATATGAGACGGTTAGAATAAAATGACTTAGGTTTCAAAAGTAATTTTGTCTACACCAACATTTCCTGCAAAGCCAAAGGAAAAAAAACCAAATGAATGTGGCTTTTTATCATTTATGCTGTTTCCATTCAGGTTTTGTTACACAAAATGCACTTTCTCTTGCATCAGTTTCCACTGTCGAAATACAGAGAGAGAGAGAGAGAGGCACGTATTTGCATAAACACAGAGAAATTAAGCTAGAAACTGTTTTACATTTTGATTAATCTCCCTCCATCAGGGGTGCACGCACACACACACACACACACAC